CAGCACCGCGGCATCGATGAGGATCTTCCTGTCGGAAGTCTGCACTTCCGATGCCAGCACATCATAGCCCGTCTTCGCGTCGATCACCAAGTAGTGCTTCCAGCGGCTGGCATAGCCCTTCCAGGTCCTCAAGGTGAAGTCAGCGTAGAGGACCTCCGCCAAGGCCGCGCAGATGAAGTCCCCATGCTCGAAGCTCTCCGCCGCCATGGACAACTCAGCGCTCATACTGCACCTCACCACAAGCTGAATCTTCATGCTCTGACCCTCAAGCAGGCAGACCGGCGCGGTCTTCTCCAGGACATCAGGGTGGGCGACCATGCAAGCGAGGCCACCCTGGGAGCGTCCCTTGGGCTGTGCCGCAAAGGCCGCATCGCTGGCGGAGATCGCCAAATGTCCTTGAGGTCGCGCCCCTTGACGATGACCTCCTTCTTCGCCCTGGCCACCAGCTTGGCCGCTCCCTCTTCCCAGCTCCGGCCAGTTGTTGGCAATGGGACACCCCATGCGACAGGTCATACCTTCCTTGGCGTGCCGTCCAATTGACCTGGTTCAGGATCGAGCCAATCTTGGTGCGCTCCTTCTTACTCAGCCGACCCCGCTCCATGGCACACTCTTCCTTGGCGACGTCCGGAATCTTCTGCACGTAGCTCTCCGTGGTACAGGAACTCCAAGGTCTTGGGGTCCTGCTTCTCATAGCGCCCGCAAAACTTCTGCCACCCTTCAGTCGCCAGGCGGTGTTGGCCAAACTTCAAGCGCTCATGGAGAGCGTCCCAGATCTCCTGCGCGGTCTCATCCCCGGCGTATCTGGCGTCGTCCACGTGGATGGTGACAATCGCCCGGAGTCGTCCGTCAGGATGAAATGCCACGAACAGGCCCGGGATCAACTTCGACTCATTGAGCTTGATCTTCTTCAAGGTGGCCTTGTACTCCAAGTAGCAAAGCCTCGGGGATTCCGCGAGCCCGAACCCACCCTTCAGCAATTTGAGGATGTCAGAGCGGCAGCCATTGCCCACTTGCTCCTTGATGTAGTCCGTCACCACATAGGTAGCTTCTGTCCCTGGAGGAAGGCGGCACTCACATCCTCGTAGTGCACCACCCAGCCCAGCTGCACTGCCACCATGTTCAGGATATTGTGTCCCAGGAGGCTAGCCGTAGGGTACCGCCCCGCCTCAACATCCTTCTGTCCGCCAAGGATCCATCGGGCGTTCAACTCGGCCTCAACCAGCGTCTCGCCACCCTTGTTGGAGCACGAACCTGGAGCTGAGGATCCTCCGGGGGTCCACTACTGCGTCCTTTGGTACTCCTTCGATGGCATCATGGTCGAAGTAGACCTGCGCAGCCTTCACCAGCGGCTTCCTTTGGTACTCCACACGGATGCCAGTGACCAGCTGGGCCTCCATCACCGCCTTGACCTCGCCCGACGCATACTCCTCCGAGCGGTCGACCAAATTCTTCAGGTACAGGTTCGTCTCGCCATCCGCCTCCCACAAGCCCACCTGCATCTCAATCTCGGACCAGTAGGTGCTCCAGGGCTCCAGCTCGACCTTCTTTCTGCGAGGGCCCGGACGTCCCCTTGGTGGCACTCGCTGTTGCATAGCCACGAGCCGCTTGCCGCCCCTTCTCCTTCTGCTCCGTCTTCCATTCCTTACGCACCTTCTTCAACTGGCCATAGGCATTCTCCAGCCTGTCACCGCCGCCTCCTGCATCGTAGATGGCGCGCCCAAATCCTTCGCCAGCTGCTCAAACAACTTCTGCTTCTTCTTGAACGGAAGGAGATGGGGCTCCTCCCTATCGGCATCTCCCAAGGCTTGGGGAACATCATGAAGCAGCTCCCTCTTCTTCTCCACCTCAGGCGGATCTTCTCCAGCGGATAGGCCTTGACCGGGAACGTAGTCGCACCCACCCGTAGAAGCTCCAGATCGGGTGGCCGGGATCTTGCTGCCAGTGCTCTCCGAAGGCCTTCATGGGCATCAATCCAATGGCAGGCTTCAATGGATGCTGCTCGGATGCGGTCAGCTCTTCTGATGGCTTCCTCCTGGCTAACGGCCGTTCAAGGATTTTGGCAGAGGCGTGTTGCAGCCCGTGACCGCCTGCAAAGGTGCCACCCCATGTTTGCCTACCACCCGGTTCTTTGAAGAACAGGTGTCAATCTGAAGCTCGATCACCACCTTCATCATCATCACCTTCATGATGGCTCCATGTCGTTCAGCATGTCCAAGGCGCCACTTCGCCTGGTCGGGGATGACGTCGTGCTGCACTGCAAAAAGTTCATTGAGCCTGGCCAAAGCCCCCTGAAACTCGGTGCCAGCATCCGTGACCAGGGTATCGGGGACCAAAGACATCACACCACAACCGACATAGCACATCCGCCGCCCAGTCCAAGCTTGGATCGAAATCCAAGGCACCCACGTGGTAGTCCGTGAGCTCATTTGACATTCTTCACATCCCAAATGAAGAAGACGTCCCCGCTCACCCTCTGGTTGAAGTTCGTGGGCTTGAGATAGGACACCTGTGGCTTGCTACCACGGGGGCGCACCACGCTGCATACCTGACATCGCGTGTTCTTCACTCCATTGAGGAGGTCGGCATTGCCCCCAGCGAGACTGATCATCCGGTGCAAGCGCTCATTCGACAGATGGCCTAAGGCCACATGCAGGTGTGCCAAGGTGGCACGGGAGCATACGGGCCTCCGCCTCGAAGATGATGTAGTCGTAGCGCTCACCCTCGGCCCCCATCTGCTTCATTTGTCTCTTCGAGGCCTCCTCCGGGGTCAAGACACCTTCCTCGATGGCCACCGGCAGAGTGTCATAGATGGCGGGGACTGGATCCTCAGAGCCATGGGTCTCCTGGCCCGGGAGGCAAAGCTGGGCTGCTTCCAGAATAAACTTCGGGGTCCATCGCGCCGCCAGAGCTGACCTCCGCTCCATTTTGCCATCCAGGCCGATGGTTGCAGCGAGTGACCGTTGCCAATCCCATTGCAAAGCCCTGCTTGTTCACGTCCAAGGCAGTGGTCTTCCGGTAGAGGAGATGGAAGCTTCACCAACTGCGCTGCCCTGTCCCAAAGCTGCACCATGATTCGAGGGCCTATGTACTCCTCCAGGATCTGAAAACTCAAGGCTTCATCGCCAGTCCCTGTAGCTCTTGCCAGGTTTTGCTCTGAAGATTGGCGGGTAGGAGCTGCTGATCTTCCCCTTCCCGCTTCCCTGGCTTTTAGGCTCATCTCCAGGTTATCGAGGATCTGGTGAATCCCCTGCCGATGACACCTCCCCAGACGGGAGATTTCCATGCCGGTTGAACCCCGCTGCTGGCGGAGAAGCCGGCGGCCCATGGACTTGTTGCTGATCGTGCCCTGGAAGAAGTCCCCTGGTCGTCGTTCTTGATCTCCGCCGGACCACAAGCTAGCCTGATTCCAGGACCAGTTCTCTTGGCCCTGATCCACGCTCCCACGGCGCCCTGGTACATGATCTGGTCCCTGATCGTGTCCCCCAGCTCAATCATCCCATGACCAATTGGCATGCGCACTCCCTTCGCCGTGATGGCGCTCCCACCCCATGTCCTGCCGTCGACCTTGTCCAGAATCAGGTACTCGTGGTCGTCCATCTCGTCCAGACCACTCGGTCCAAGCACTCTGACTTTCCCCAGCCGCTGATCGTCCATCCCACGACCAGTTCTCTCCTTGGCCACCGGCCGTCCAACTTCTCCAGGTCGCCCACGAGGACGTTGACCAAGCCCGTCCTGCACTCGGGAGATGCCACCCCTCCAGCTCTGAGGGAATCCACTCAGAGCCACCTTCCGAAACTCCACTGGGCTCATCTACCGGCGCCGCCTCGAACACCTCATAGTACGAGGTCATGCCGTAGGGCTCGAGGAACCAAACCAAAACCCCAAAAGCCGCCCGCGTAGCCAGGCTCCCCAAAGCGCCGCGCCAAAGGTCACCTAAAACGAAACCTACGCTCCGCTGCCACTGAAAAGTGGGAGCGCTACCAAAACGTTTTCAACCTCGAGCCCCACGGCTGGTCGCGCGAGGGGGTGTATTCACAATAATGTTTAAACAAGGAGCTTTGGAAACATCCACACACTCTGGTTGTGTCACAGGTGCAAAGAACCACCAAGCAAGGGTATCAATACAAGGCACAATCGAACAAAAAAACTCACACACAACCAAAGGCGTCTCGTTGCCACACCCAATTAAGCTGGAATGCATTCAGCTCTGACTGTCCTCTCCATTGTTCTCAATAGTCAATAGACGTGAAGCTTTCAGTGGAAGCAAGATCGGGGCCGATGCCAGGAAACCTGCACCTCGGAACAGCAATCATCGAAAAGAAGGACTGAGCATGAAAAGCTGCTGCAATCAATGCGCTGCAAGAAACTAACACTGTGACCAATCACAATGTATCTCAAATAGAACACCAAAGTTTGCCAGTACGATAAATCAACTTTTATATACTTGTTACTGTACTGTATAGGATTGTATAGGTAACTAAGGCATGTTCCTGTAGAGCAAGCACAATTTCAAGACTTTGTTTGGGGTGGGCCAGATCGATGGAGCTGATGTTTTTATCGTATCTCAAACCCTCAAGCCGTGTTTTGAGTGCAAATTTCGAGGAACCCTTGTGGCCAAAAGCATGGTTGTCCTAACTAAGATAGGTGAACCCGGAAAGATCTGTACCAAGCCTCCCGATCCCGGAGAATTGAAACATACTGCAAGACTTCTTGAATCTTGTTGTAAATAAACTGTTTTGCAAAGAGAGGAGCCAAGTGACTGAATCCTGAAGTTCATGCCACCAAAAGCAACTTCACTCGTCCTTTTCTAATTGCATCGTCTAAATCCTGCACGTTTGGAACACACATTCATACTAATTTATATCTATTTATACTGTTTCATGCTTGTAACGTGTTGACAGCAATCGTTGGCACAACTGACTAAATTGTGCAATGCAAGCACGACTTGAACCGAAACTGCCCTGGGGACATCCTTGTGTAGCTGAACTTGCCCCAAGCTTTCAGACACTTTCCTCACCACTGCGAGCCAATAGCGCTTGCCCAGGCCTGTTGACACCAGCTCTGTTATTATTCTTCAACACTTCGCAGTTCGCAAGCAATTTCATGCAAACCAGGAACCAAGGCAAATTACGCCCAGCCACATCTGGCCATGGACAACTGCGTTGGGCTGATGTCGAAGGTGTGAGCATTTGATGTGAGACTTGTCTTGACCTCCACCAAAAATACCTCACCACAAAGTTGAAATAAAGGCTGATGGCCACAGTGCAATGAATCGGAATTCTAGACAAAGACCGACCTGCGAATCCCTCCACCTACTGCTGCAAACAACCCACTCTGCTCCACAAAATAGACCAGCCGGGCAGCTCCTGAATCCTGCGACAATGCAGCCTAAGCGAGATGCACCCACAGTGCATTTGTGCTTCTCAAGATATTTTGCCTTCCGCGATTCCCCATTTCATTCTTTTAGCTGTTGACTAGTGCGCCCGCCTCAATCATTTGGAGGGAAGGCACCTACGGGAACGGGCAATGCGAGACCCAAACTGGGAGTGCTGCTACTGGCCTCCTCCTCGGATTTTGTGGAGCATAGCTTGGCCATAGCGGGCGGAAACGAACATGTACCTGTCTGTGCTCAAGGGTGCACGTCACGCACTTCCTCCCGGAAAGCTGAGCAGTGCATGTTGCTGCTTCGAACCAGCTACCCTTCGGGCACTGCTTGGCCGGACCAAGAAATCAAAAGGCAAGCCTGGCCAATGCAGCCATTGCAAAGCCAGCCATCCACAAACAAACCATAGGCAAAGCCGGTGGGCCTGTTTCTGCATATTGGTTGACCCAAATGATATCAAATCCGCGTTGTTTGAGCACCTTCAACGCGACCTGGTTGCGCAAGTACAAGCGAATGCATTTGGAAAAAAGGATATATTTGTCAGGAGACCAGCGGTTTCTGTAGGTTAAGGCAAACATTATAGTGTCAAAAGCAAGCGCTGAAAAGGATATCGACGTTTGCCAATGTCACCAATCTTGTGATTGTTTTGCTGATAGTTCTTCCACAAGCTGGTGGCACTGCAAAAGTCCATTTAATGCCTCTTTTGGGAGGAGCAGGGTTCTTAATCTCTTGGTTGTAATTCGGTGTTCTGGAAAACATGTTTCTTATTTTCATGCGGGAACAATCTTTTCTTTAGGCGGTCGCACTAGCTTTCCGTATCCGTTCTCGCCATGAGCAAGGGGCGGGTGAGCTGTGGATGTTGAACACAAGTCGAATGGAGGGGAGTGAGGGGAAATGCAACTTATGTTTTCGCTTGGGGTAGGGATTTCACAACCACTGGTTTTGTGAAAGTTGGTAAGATGCCAGAGAAGTCTCATGTTTGTAGCCATTTGCTTTCTGCTTATATTAATGGTGTCTCAGTCTACACGTTGTCCCGATTTGTTTTGCGACAATTTCAGGCTTGTTCTTCGAGGGGCTATGATCGACGGAGTAATTCGTTTTAGACGGGCCTGACGAACAAAGGAAGAAGCACCTCTAAGAGTGAAGGGAACGATATTCCTAGCTGCGAGGCTCAAGTTCAGCCTCACTCACTGGGTCCCTTTCTCAATCCCACACACTCACTCGTATTTGTGGGAGGAGGGGGTTGATGGTGAGTCAAAGAGAATGCCTGACTCAATGAAGAACGGTTTGCGAAAGGACTACCAGCAAAACCTCTTGTAGATGGAGGGTGGGTGGGCTTGAATTGAACCGAGTATTTTGTTTTTCGGGACAAGGGCATTTACAAGATCCACGGCCCTATCTCTGCATCAAGTCAGGACAAGAGAAGAGAAAAGAAAAAGACAAGAACAAGAAGGAAGATAAAACAAATAAGGAACAATAAGACAAAGCAGGAAAAAAATGCAGCTATATAGATGCAAGAAAAAATCAAGTGCGAGGAAGAAGCGGCAGGATGAGGCAGAAGGGGGAAGGAGCAGGATAAGAAAATGAAAGCAGGAGCAAGAAGAACAAGAGAAAGAAGGAGGACAAAGGAAGAAGCAAAGCCAACCGCAAACTGTACGCCACTCCTCCGTGAACGCATCCCATTCCACACTTTCTGGTGTGTGCCAAATCTTCTCCCAGAGTTGTAGGCAATCGAGCGTGCCCACTTTGGGTAGCTTGGTCAATAACTCTGGGGGGGTAGCCAAGGTACTTTATTTTTTAAAAAAAAACAGTGGGTCCAACCCTGCAAATTCATCATCTGACTAAGCTATCAGAATACCTCAGCGGAGGCAACTTGATGAAAATAAAATGAGCAACCCCAAGGCAAAAAAACCCTTATGCTAGACATCGGCTCCCACTCCACCCATGATACGTCTGTTAAACGCAAATGCCCAAGACTGCCAGTTCACCAAATGCCAAATTGCAAAACACATTTAATCTGCCAATCCAAAGCTAAACCCACCCTAGAACTACAACATATACCTCTTTCAGTCTGCTAACCAATTCTTATTCTAAGGCTTTCTGGCTGGGCTGGGTGGCTTTGTGGGGGCTGGCTTGGTGCCATGCAACAATTAGATAAAATATGATAAAATAGAATCTGCACATCTTCAACCTCCACCCACAAAAGACTTATCTCTGACCATGCCTTCCCACATTCTATTTTCACGCTATGCTTGATGGAGATTTCTCTGGGTAGGGTTGGGAAGCACTAGCATGGCTTGTGTGGGGTGCTGTGCTTGTGTCTGTGTTTTGGGTGGTTTTTTATTGGAAACACAATTGCAATAAAACAAAATCAGCAGCCAACCCAGAGCTAAACTCACCCTAAAATGCCCTAAAACCTTAGAACTACAACATTATACCTCTTTCAGTCTGCTAACTAATTCTTACTTTAACACTTTCTGGCTGGGGTGGGTGGCTTTTGTGGGGGGCTGGCTTGGTGACGCAGCAATTAAGTAAAATAGAATCGGTGTATCTTCAACCTCCAACCACAAAAGGCTTGTCTCTGGCCTAAGTTCGTGTCCTGCCGGACGGTTTGACACCCGAGTTGACTCCAAAACGGTTTGTTGGAGTTCAACAGCAAAAAAATGGAAAACACATAAAACACTAGCGACTTTGACATTTTCTGCCTGATTACATGCTTGTGTATTCCTACAGTAGCTTCATGGCTGATGACCTAGGAACGCCTTTTAATTTAAAACACCTTGAGTTTCCACTGCGAACTAATGACTGGGACGACTTGCATCGCGCAACCATTGTTTTGTAGTGGAATCTCAAAATTATTTTTTTGGAAGTTCATCCCAAGTTGAACGCGCTTGGTTTTGAAGCGTCTCTCACTATTCAAAAAAAAGAAAGTAAAATCAGCCAGTGCTGAGGTTCAAAACCAATGTATCACAACTGATTTTGTTTTAGCATTCAGTGCAGTCGTCGAACAGTCAGCTCCCTTCTTTTCCTCAAGTCTGCGCAGGGAGCTGTCGGGCATCAGAAGCACTCTTCCGATTTACGTTGGTAAGCACACCTAGGCCCACTAGGAGGTGAACTCCATACACCGGCAGTGAAGAGAACTCCCAACACCCACTACTCAACCGGAAGATAGAACAGTAACCAGCTGAATCTATCCCGTGAGTCGCCCCACCCGGCCCCGAACACGGGGCGAAGGGTGACCCAACAGGACACCTGTCGGAGCAACTAGCTCCTCTCGCGCCCCCAAAATCAAAGGAAAGGAACATCAAATTGTTTTTCAGGGGTTGGGAGGGTGGGAAGAAGAACATTCACCTGAAGCCTCATAGACATGCCAACATGCAACATGCTCAACTCAGAACAACTGACATGAACGATTCAGTGTCCACCACACCTGCCCTAGAAGCACAAGACGCTACCAAACAAACTTCTCCAGCGTCAGCCTCACATTCTAAAATAAATTCTTTCGAGCCAAGGTCCATACCTTCCAAGCACAGACAGCGTTTTTAGAATAACATGCGTTCTTTTTGGGCGCTGAGGGGGGCTGAAGTCATCACCAATCTTGCCCTGAGGTTCATTTCCGCATCGTCCGGCTCATACCCGTATTCCCGTTCTTGGCCAGAAAGTTCTTAGGGTTTTCACTCATTCCAAGATTTGCTGGCTCCGTCTGAAGGGCGTCCTCCGCATAGGTCAAAACAACCGACGACTTCCATGTCGCCAACAAGGCCAGCTCTTGTATAGGCATACCAAGCCTCACTTCACGTAGTGTATTGCTCCGCTTCTTCCATCTTAGTCTTCGATAGTTCTCGGCCTTCGCACTCCCCAAAGGGATTTGTGGAGGCTCAGGACTTTCGAAGGTCCATTCCAGCCCATATCCAAGGGCACCGCCTGCAGCAAGTCCGTGGCCCGCAGCATTTCAACCGCAATGGATTTGCCAATTCTCTTCTTGCCCCGCTGCGGATGTAGGTCTTTCCACTTGACGGCGCTGAGCTCGACCTCCTTCAGCATCCACGCCATAGCCCAAGCGAGGGATAGCGCAGCTCGTTTCGAACTCCCATCCTCGTCAGGTATTGACCAACGGAAGCTTTAATGGCCTTCAGCGCGGCAGCCACATGCCAACCGTAGAACTTGGCAAGTCCTTCCTCGACACTCTCTTGGCCTCACCCAAGCACCATGTGTTGTAAAGACCCGCGCCCCTTCTACCTGCTCCATCTTCCCCCGCCTGTCCAAACTACGGGCTCTGCGCAAGCCCTTCCATCTTTTGCGTTGTTTGATTTTCGCGTAATTGGAGAACCCATGCGCTGAACTGGATCTCCACCTTGCCCTTCAGCGCGCCCGTCACCAATGGTCCACAGCTCAGCGGCCCAGTATAGGCCCCGGCCCCGGCCCTTTGAGGTGAACTCTTGGCGCCATGGCCTCAAAGCACAGCCATCGGTGCCGAAGGATGGGGGGGAAGGGGGTGGGCAAGTTGCGGGGGAATGTAAAAAAATTGGTGCCGCGCAACTCCAAGTACAGTAATCTGCCCTGTTGGTTTGGCACCCCGCACGGTGATCCCACTAGTTCTGGCCTGTGTCGATTGCTCTGTTTGATGCCACTTTGGAGATGCACTGTTCGCCGTGGTTTGTGTCTCTACCCCATTCATGATCTTGGGTTGGCAGCTTGACTCTGCAATTCCATGCTTCTTTGGTCGCCGTGGAGTTTCTGGCAGCGTGTCTCCTCTCCAGCCCGGGCCCCATTTCAGGACCACCAGCACTTCTGCGACCAACCAACTCTCCACGTCGATCGCAGAATACGGAACTAGCATGGCCTCCATACAGTATATATTCTGAGCCCGAAAAGGGCTGCGCAACTCCAACATTATCCGTGCTTGACACCTTTCCCAAAGCAAGCCAAACAATGCAAAACGCATGAATCTCGCCCATACAAATGACCACCGCCGACATGCGCAGGTCCTCCGCCCAAGTCGGGGGACGGATGGCTTCCACTCAAACCCGAACGCTCCGGACACCGCTTCTGCGCTCTCCCCCAGGCCCGGCACCGATACCTGAAGTGTCGGGTTGCGAGATGACCTGGCTGTGGCTTCCCTCTCCCAGCTAGTTCAACACCGGCAGCTGAGCTTGGGCACTCTGATTTTGCTCCCCGATCTTGTGACCCATTTGCACGTGGCTGTTCTTCCCAGATTGTAGTACACTATGGCCAGGATCCCCATTGCGAGCTCCGCTCGTAGTGCCATCTGCCATCTTGTCTGGAGATCCGGTCGACGAATCATCTTCGTGGCAGCTCCAATCTCTTCGCTCGTGCTGACCCATCTTTGGTCTGGTGTTCTTCCTCTACGCAGCTCTCCCCGCCTCATCGTCCTCCGACTGCCGGCAATCTGCAACTACTGCGTGCGTGGGCGTCGCCACCTGGCTTGCTGGACCTCCCTCGAAGCATGCCTTTTCCCTCTTTGCCTCGC